CAGCCCCCAGCAAGTAGAAGAGCCTAACCCGGCCCCTCCCACTTCATAAAAGATGGCTTTTGTCTCCCTCCTTTTCTTTTTCCTCGGCTTTGAACATTTCTGCTGCCCCAGAGGATGGACCCCGCACAGAGTGGGAAGGAGATGTGCAGGCCAGGCCCAGCTCTGCCCCTAGCTTGCTCTGTGGCCCTGGGTAAATTCCTTCCCCTCCCTAGGCCATGGTTTCTTCCTCTGTAAGAGTCTGGACCCTAGATCATGGAAGTTAGAGTCACAAGGGGTATGGAGGTCAACAAGCCCTGACCTTTTTCTTTACAAAGAAGGAAGCTGAGGCCTGAGCAGGGAAGTGAGTCACCTCAGAGAGAGGAGGTAGCAGAGATGGGATTGGAGACCGGGTGCCACAGCCCCAAGATGGGGGCCAGATGGTACAGCACCAGCTTCTGTGCCTCACCTTTCCAGCCCCAACATCCCGTGGGCGTTGAAAAGTGGATGTAGCTGAGGCGGGGTCTTTGCTGGGTTGATGGGAGTGTGGAGCTGGGAGGCAGCCACCTGACTGCACCCTGCTCCCTGGGGAGCTGTCCTCTGTCCTAAGATGCTCGCCACAGGTACTGCCCAAGACCTGCCCTCCCCCCCAGGAAGGCTGCCAACCACGAACATGCAGGGATTGTCCCAACTTGGTCCTGAAGAGTAATTCATTAGTCAGAAAATGTCACACTATTCTTGTTCCAAGCTGGGGAATGCCCGCTGAGAGTGGAATGGTCGGTTCCCAGAAATCCCCAGCAGGCGGGTAACTTGTGGGAGCCCTCTCCAGGTTCCTCTATCAGCTGTCTGGAGAAGCTGTGCCAAAAGAGTAAATAAGTCAGATTGGCATGTGGGGGCTGGCAGCTGAGGACAGCTGGGAGCAGCAGGCTTGCAGATGGGCACCTGGGCTGGCCTGGGCCATCTTGGCACGTGCCCAAGCAGGACGAGAGGAGAACTAGTTTGAAAAGGACTCGGGCACCTGCCTGCAGAATGAGGGCAGGGATTCATCTGTCTCTATGGGCCTTGCCTGTCCAGGGAACTCTCTGGGACCCTCCTTTGTGCTTGTTCCCCCCAGCATGTCCAGGGGGGTCAGCAGAGGGAGTGGGGTATGTTTAGCCCAAAGAAGAGGTTCCTCAGGGGAAGCTGAGAGCTCTCTTGGCATATTAGAAGGACTGTAGAGTAGAGGAGAGATTAGCCTGGCTCCTTCTGGCCGCAGGAGGCAGAAGTGGGCAGAAGCCATGGGGAGGAGGGGGGATGGGCCTGAGATGCCTGAGACACTGAGGCTCCACATTAGGGAGGACATTCCTCACAATTAGAGTAATCGCAAAGGAGGATGGGCTTCTGCAGGAGATCTTGGAGGGGACTTTCATAACAACAAAAATAGCTAGCATTTCTATAGCACTTTGAGGTTTGTAAAACACTTCATAAATAGGATCTCATTAATCCTCACAACTATCCTGGGAAATAGGTGCTCTTATTATCTCCATTTCATAGATGAGGAAACTGATTAGGCAGCCAGATTAAATGAATTGCCCAGCATCACGCAGCTAGTAATTGTCTGAGGCAGGATTAGAACTCAGGTCTTCTCACTCTCAGGCCCAGAGCTCTGGAGGTCTGGCCACTTCACTTTACTGGAGGTCAAGTGCAAAGTGTGTCATAAAACCCCACCCTCTGAATGACCAGCAGTTTGACCTCAGCTTCTTCATTTGTCAAATGGGGCAGCTGGACGAGATCCTTCCTAATCAGCTCTATAGTTTTTCAGTCACTCAGTTAGTCAACAAGCATTTAGGTAGCATTTACTAAGTAGGAGGCACTGTGCTAAGCCCTGGGGACACAAAAAGAGGCACAAGACAGGCCCTGCCCTCAGGGAGCTCCCAGTCTAATGGGGGAGACAACCTGGAGTGGCTGTATGTAAATGGGATCTGGGCAGGAAGAATTGGAGTGAAGACAGGCAGGACTCCCCATCTTTGGCCCCTAGAAAAGGGGCTCTGACAACATTGAGGCTTCCTCTGCTTGCCCCTGTCCCTCCTTTTTTTTTTATTAATTAATTTAGTTTTAGTTTTCAACAATCACTTCCACATGCTTTTGAGTTTTAAATTTTCTCCCCCTCCCTCCCCACCTCTCTCCCCAAAATGGCATGCAATCTGATATAGGCTCTACATATACATTCCTATTAAACATATTTTCACATTAGTCATGTTGTAAAGAATTAGGACCGGGAGGAGGAACAACAAGAAAGAAGAAACAAAACAGAAGAAAAAAAAAAGAGCAAACAGTCTGCTTCGATCTGCATTCAGACTCCATAGTTCTTTCTCTGGATGTGGATAACATTTTCCATCATGAGACTTTTGGAGATGTCTTAGATCCTTGCATTGCTGAGAAGGGCTAAGTCTATCAAAGTTAGTCATTGCACAGCGTGGTTGTTACTGTGTACAACATTCTCCTGATTCTATTCACTTCACTCAGCATCAGACCATACGTGTGTTTCCACATTTTTCTAAAGTCTGCCTGCTCATCATTTCTTATAGCACAGTAGTATTCCATTACATTCATATACCACAACTTGTTCAGCATTCCCCAATGGATGAGCATCCCTCAATTTCCTATTCTTTGCTACCACAGAAAGAGCTGCTATAAATATTTTTGTACATGTGGGTCCTTTTCCCATTTGTATGATCTCTCTGGGATACAGGCCAGAAGTGCTATTGCTGGGTCAAAGGGTATGCACATTTTTATAGCCCTTTGGGCATAGTTCCAAATTGCTCTCCAGAATGGTTGGATCATTTCACAACTCCACCAACAATGCATTAGTGTTCCAATTTTTCCACATGTTCTTCAGCATTTATCATTTTCCTGTTTTGTCATGTTGGCCAATCTGATAGATGTGATGTGGTGCCTCAGAGTCATTTTGATTTGCATTTCTCTAATCAATAGTGATTTAGAGCATTTTTTTCATATGACTGTAGATAGCTTTAATTTCTTCTTCTGAAAACTGCCTGTTCATATCCTTTGACTGTTTATCAATTGGGGAATGACTTGTATTCTTATAAATTTGCCCAGTCCTTCCTTCTGAAAGAAGCCTTTCCCCATCTCCTCATGTTGGTGCTTCCCCGTTTATCTTGTCTATTGCTTGTTTGTATAAAGTTGTCTGCACGCTGTCTCCCCCATTAGATGGTAAGTTCCTGGAGGGCAGGGACTGTCTAATGCCTCCCTCTACATCCCCAGATCCTGGCACATAGTAGGTGCTCAGTGGTTGCTTGCCACCAAGAGGAGTGACTGGTGCAGGTGACCTTGAGCCTGACTAGCCCTGTGAGTGCTGAGGAAGAAGGGGGAACATAGTAAGACACAGAGGGGGACCCCTTGCTTGTTTGATCTGGCCTGGGGGGTCTAAGAGTCAAGGCAGTTGCTATGCTCATGATGGGCATGGGAGCCCATCCTTACTCACTCTTGTGGGGGTGTCATTGGAATTCTCAGGATGCACTTTCTGTAAATCTCTGAGCTCCGAGGATTGGCTTCACGTATTTGCCTGGCAGGAAATGGGGGTCCTGGGGTGGCCAGGAGCTCTAGTGTATGATCTCTTTGTTGGTGGGAGCAAGTGCACATCAGGATCCAGTCCTGGACTCAGGCCGCAGAGGGAACCAGCGTGTGATGAGAGCAGCTCCAGTCCCTAGCGTGGTTCCCAGGGGCAGTAGCGCAGGCATTCCCCTTGTTCCCCACCCTGGTCTGTGGAGGCCTCTCTGTTTCCAGGCAGAACACATATCTGACCTCACTCAAACGTCCATAGTGGCTCCCTAGAGCCCCTAGGATAAAATACAGAATCCAGCCAGGGGCTGGCTTTCAACGCCACCCCCTTCCCCAACCTTCCCATTTTATTTCCTCACTAACCCTCCATGTGTGCCCCATTCCAGGCTAACATGCCTCCTCACTGTCCCTCAGTATGGCATGGGGGCTCCTGCCCCCCATACCTTGTAGAATGTGCTTCCAAAAAGACTTGGCCTCTTCAGCTCTTTTGCTGTGACCTTCATAGACCTTTCCTGACCTGTCTCCATCACCCTCTGAGAACGTAAGCTCCTTGAAAGCAAGGACCTTTTAAAAATATTTTTAAACATTTGTATTTAAAGTTTTGAGTTCCAAAATGTATCCCTCCTTCCCTCCCTCCCCTGCCCTCCCCCCTCCTTGAGATGGTAAGTAATCAGATACAGGTTATACATGTGTGATCATGTGAAACATTTCCAAGTTAGTCATTTTGTACAAGAAGACTCAAATGAAAGGAAAAAAAAGAAAGAAAGGAAGGAAGTGAAAACAGCCTGCCTCAGTCTGTATTCAGTCAATATCAGTTCTTTCTCTGGAGGCAGGTAATCAGCCTTATCATGAGTCCTTTCGGATTGTCTTGGATTGTTATATTGTTGCAAAAAGCTAAGTCATTCACAGTTCTTCATTGCTACAGTGTTGCTGTTACTGTGTACAACATTCTCCTGGTTCTCTTCACTTCTCTATGCATTAGTTCATATAAATCTTTCAAGTTTTTCTGAAACCATCGTGCTTGTCATTTCTCATAGCACAATAATATTCCATCACAATCATAGACCACCACTTGTTCAGCCATTCCCCAATTGACGGGCACCCCTTTGATGTCCAATTTTTTGCCACCACAAAAAGAGCCGCTATAAATATTTTTGTACAAATAGGTCCTTTTTCCTTTTCTTGGATGTCTTTGGGGTATAGACCTAGCAATAATATTGCTAGATCAAAGGGTATGCACAGTTTTACAGCCCTTTGGGCATCATTGCAGGGACCTTTTAAAGTAACTCTAGAAAACAGTCTAAGTTGTAAAGGGAAAGCAGCCTGCAACAGTGGAGGGACTCCCAGAATTGAGGACATCATCTGTCCTCCAAAGGTCTATTCCCCCATTCCTGTACTTGTCCCCGTGGACATTCACAGGTACAAAATGCTACAAAACTCACCTGCTTCCCCCTTCCCTGCAGCGACTGCAGATGTTCTGATGGAAGATTGCTGTGCAGACGGGCATAGGCTGGCTGCCCAGAAACGAGACTGTTCGGTACCCTATGCTTCAGAATCCAAGGAATGCAGGTACACTGTCTCCCGCCCCGCCAGGTGTGATGGTCACTGCCCTGTGACTCTCTCTTCTCTCCTGTGACTCCCCAGGCCAAAGCTCCCCTCCCGGGCCACTGGTGCCCTAGATAGGTGTGTCCCTCTGGGACAGCGTAAGCTCCTGGAGGGCAGGGAATATCCCTCTTTGGCTGTGCATTGTCAGCACCTAGGACAGTGCTCAGCACACACACACAGGTGCTTCATAAAAGCTTCCTGACTGACCAAGGGACATAAGGCGACATAGTAATAGTTGTGCTCAATGATTATCTAATGTAATTACAGGTTTATGGGGGTAAAAAAACTTGGGGAAGGAGAGGGATTCCTTGTGTGGCCTTCTTTCTCCCCTGCTCACCTGCTCCAAAAAAGGTGGGACAAGCCCCAGATTCCCTGGTGGGCTGGAGAGGATTCCTGCTCAGGTCCCCTTGGCTGCCATGTATCAGCACTGAGGACTGTCTTCTGAGGCCCAGCCCTGACCAAGGGGACTGAAATTCCAAGTGAGCAAATTCTTGAAGAGTCAGAGGAGGGGCAGGTCAAACAAAGGAGAAACAGGAAAACTCGGATGATTGGGATTTTGGAAGATCAAATGTTTATGATTCAAAGACCAGCAGATAAGGAGGGCCAGCTGGGCCTGAAGGGCGGCCATTGTGCTTCAAGTGAGGAATCTGAGAGAGGCCCCTGGTAATTCTGGAGTCTGGTTAAGCAGCCGTGTTTGTGTGTATGTGTGTGTGTGACAGAGAGAGAGAGAGAGACAGACAGACAGAGACAGACAGACAGAGAAACAGACTAAGAGAGGATGAAAGAGATGACAGAGACAGAAATTAAGAGAGACAGAGAGAGAGAGAAACAGAGACAGAGACAGGAGACATGGACTGAGAGAGGATGAGAGAAACAGAGAGACAGAGAAAGTGACAGAGAGACAGAGACAGAGAGAGAAAAGAGAGAGAGAGAGAGAGAGAGAGAGAGAGAGAGAGAGAGAGAGAGACAGAGAGAGAGAGACAGAGACATGGGCTAAGAAAGGATGAGAGACAGAGACAGAGGGAGACAGAGAGAGACAGAGACAGACAGGGACAGAGAGAGGAGAGACAGAGACAGAGAGAGACAGGGAGTGACAGAGAGACAGAGAGAGACAAAGAGACACAGAGAGACAAAGAGAGAGAGACAGAGAGAGAAGGGAGTGACAGAGATAGAGAAAGAAGCAGAGAGAGACAGAGAGACAGACAGAGAGTGCATTGTGAGAGTGTATGTGCATGTGTGTAAGTGTGAGTGTGCACATGTGTTTAATCTCTAACAGATGATAAGAAGACAAACAGGCAAGACTAGAACCTTAACTCCATTTACTGGTCCTTTGCTGTTACTGGTGCCTGGCACATAGTAGGTCCTTAATGAATGATTGTTAATTGATGATAGATTTTAGAAGTGAGAAAATTAAGGTTTAGGGAGGGTGACCCCTCCAAGAGCTCATGGCGGGCTAGTGGACAAGCTGAGACTCAGACCTCAGTGTCACCATCCTGCTTTTCCAAATCATAGGGCAATAGAATGTTCAGATGGGAAGGGAGGTGAGAGGTCATTTGGTCCCACAGCCTCAGCCTGGGGAGGCTCATGGGTGGGGGAGAAGGGGGAAGCAGGGAAATGGGGTGAGCCTGGTCCTGGCTCTGATTTCCCCTGTTATAAGGCCTCTCCCAACTCTGACATTCCCTGTTCTAAGGCCCCTCCCAGCCCTGACATCCCCTGTTCTACTATACCTGGGGCTATAGTAGCTGTGCTCACATAACCAGTGCCCTCCTCCTTTTATCTCCTATCAAAGGAGATTCCTAAATCACTTAGCACTGTGCCTGGTACATAGTGGGTACTTAATAAATGCTTGCACCCTCCTTCCCTCCCCTCATTTCCCTTGGCAGGATGGTGCAGGAGCAGTGCTGCCAGAATCAGCTGGAGGAGCTCCACTGTGCCACAGGCATCAACGTGGCCCACGAGGGGGACAGTTGTGACACACACCATGACAATTCCAGCTTTGAAGCCAAGTTTATCAAGGTGAGCGGCCTTTATGCCTCTCTGCCATTCTCCATCTGCCCTGCTCCTGAGCCAGCCCGCAAGGCCTCCTCTCTACCTACCTACCTTCCTTCCTTCCTTCCCTCCTTCCCTCCCTCCCTCCTTCCTTCCTTCCTTCCTTCCTTCCTTCCTTCCTTCCTTCCTTCCTTCCTTCCTTCTTTCCTGAGCCCCTTTCTCTCTCCCCCTCTCTGCCCTGTCCTGGGGCAGTCTCAGGGACCATGGTCCTTGATCTGCCCTATGTCCAGTACTTGAGCTGACTGAGAGCAGGATGCCTGAGCTGCATTCCTGGGAGGAATTGGCTCAGACCCAAGGTCTTCTCAAACCCGCAGAAGTAGGAATGGTTGAGGCCAGACCACCGTGTCACCTCTTGTCCTGTTCTCTGTCCTGCCATTGCCGGACACATGCAGGGTCAGGAAAAGGAGGAGACACTAGCCGGCTGGGTCTGTGGTCATGAGGGTCAGAGGTTGTTTGGGGGGAGAGGGTCTGAGCCCCCTGTGCTTCCCCATGGGGACTCCGGCATCAGAAGAACTGGATTCAAATTGCGCCTCTGCTGCACACCCCTTGTGTGACTTCAGTGAAATCCCTTCCCCTCCCTGGGCCTGGGTTTCCTCCTCTGGAAGATGAGAAGGGAGGACCACATGCCCTGCAGGGATGCTGCCAGCTCTAGGGTGCCAACATCCCTTTTCTCATTTCTCCCAATATGGAACAGAAAGGAACCAAGGGTCTCCTCTGGGCTGTGCTGAGTGAGAAGAAACACAGGGGCATTTGTCTCATGGTCCAGAAGAGCATTGTTGGTGATCCCTGCCCACAGGGGGCCAGTGGTCACAGGGCTGTGCTTCCAAGGGCCCTCAAAGAGAGGCTGGATGGTCATGAATGGGGCTCTTGGCAGGGGACACCAGCTGACATCCAGGCTAGATGCCTTGGTTTCAAAGCTCCTTTCTCAGCTCCAGGATTCCCAGTTCTCCAGCATCCCCAGCCACATGCTGCACGCCCCCACACTCATCCAGCTCAGGGGCTGTCTTTCCCTTTGGGGTTGTGCCAATAGACTAGACTCTAGATCCTGCTGAGGGCATCTTAATGCCTGAGCCTTGACTTTGGAAAGAGCCACATCTTCTCCAGAAAAAGTCAGTGAGAAAGGACCTAGAGAGAAATGTGCCACCTTGAGGATAACTGATCAAATGCAGAGGTGGTGATTCTGTATTATAGAATGTCAGAGCTTGGAGGGGCCTTAGAACAAGGGATGTCAGAGGTGGGAGGGGCCCACCAGATCATCCAGCTCCTTCCCCTCATTTTGCAGGTTATGAAAGTGAGTGATGCCCAGAGAGAAAAGGGATTTGCTTCTTGGGTAGTGAGGGGCACAGGAACCTGAATGACACTGGGAATTGGACAAGTGGTTCTATATCTGCCCTATCCCTTCCCCTAATCTCTGGGGGCCCCCCTTTGCATTTGTCATTCCAACAAAGTCTTCCTGAATTTGTTCTGAAGGTTCCTCATTCGCTGTCTCTGCTGCCCATCGCCTGGGGGTGGGATTCCATGCTCTCTCTCAGGCTCCCTCTGGCTAGGATGGCTATAACTTTCACTTCCAACCCAGGACTGAGAATTCCTAGGGTCAGCAAGGCGGAAGTCAAGCCTGAGATCAAGGTCACTTTAAACCTGCTGCCTTGGAAGGGCTCGCTCAGCTCCGCTGCCACTGCCACTGCCCTAATTGAAGCCAACCTGCCCCTTTCCCAGAAGTTTAACATTTATTTGTCTTGGGAGGTAGTGAGTTCCTCATCATGCAGGTGATGAGGGTGAGGCTGGCTGGCCATCTGTGAAGAAGTCCGTAGCAGAGACTCCTTCAGGGGATGGGATGTTAGACAAGTCTGCGCTTGCAGGTCTCAGGGAGGTCAGCTAAGGTGTCTTGGGAGCTGTGTCCTCAGCCATGGGACCAGGCCTCACCCTGTTTTTGAGAACCAACATTTGAACGTTTCCAGCTACTCCTTACCTCCCGCTGTGGGTCAAGATGAATTGGGACCAAGAGGAAATAAGTTTTGGAAAATTAGATTGAGTCCAGTTGGCTGAGTCCCGGGAACGTTGGATGGAGAAATCAATTTCTCCTGAAGTCAGTTTTCCCATGTGAAGCGATTATGGTTTGAGTAAATGCTTTTCACCACGCAAACATCTCAGCCAGTGCAGCCCCGACTCCAGGGGCGGAGGCTTTGGGCAGATTCTGTGGCTCCTTTCTGGCCATGATTGCCCTCAGCAGCTAAAGAGGCTGGAGCCCACAGTGAAGAGAAGTCCAAGGAGATGTCTGTGGACGGGACATGGGGAGGAATCCTTCATGATTGCAGAGCACCCTCGACCCAAGCCCACCTGCTCTCTGCCCCCAACTCTTTCCCCCAAACCCCTCTTCTCTCCTCCATCTTCTGGTCATTTTATTGGGAGAGAAAGTTCTTAGGTCATAGGGTTCGAGCTGGAAGGCCCCTCGTGGCCATCCAGTCCAGTGGTCTTGTTCTATAGATAAGCAAACTGAGAGTCAACAGGAGTGACCTGCCCACAGTAGCACACCTGCAAACGGAAGGGCCAGGATTTGAACCCAGGCCCTCCTCGCAGTGCTACAACCTCTGAGGTAGCCTAGGCTGGTGGCCAGAGCCCTGGACTCAGACTCAAGTCCTAGATCTGGCCCAGGACCCTGCCGAGAAGCCTGGGAGCCTCCTTGCTCCAAGGCTGTGCTGCTGGGCGCCTCACTCAATTTTCTGGAGGCCACTGCTGACTCTTTCCCTTGTTTTCACCAGAAATGCTGTCACTGCTGCCTGCTGGGGAAGGCTGCCCAGGCCCAAGGCCAGAGCTGCGAGTACAACCTCATGATCGGCTACCAGTGCGGCCTGGTGTACCGGGCATGCTGTGTCAAGAGCCAGGAGACTGCGGAGCTCACGCCTGGAGACGTTGCCGTGCCCTTGGACACCAGTAATGCTGTCTCCTGTCCCCTGGCCACCTTTGGCCCTCACAATGGCTGACTTTGCTCCAGGGTTCCCTGCAGTGTCCTGAGCTCGGGGGGGGGCGGGCTCATTTGGTCCTTCAGACTCACTGTGTGACACACCTCACCTCTGCATGATGCCTAGTGAATCTGCTAGTTGTTTGTCCATCTGTTTGTCTATCTGTCTATCTGTTTGTCTGCCTGTCTATTTGTCTGTCTATCCATCTCTTTCTATCTGTCTATCTATCTTTCTGTCTGTCCATCTATCTGTCTGTCTGTTTATCTGTCTATCTGTCTATCTATCTATCTGTCTGTCTGTCTATCTGTCTGTCTATCTGTCCAACTGCCTGCCTGCCTGTCTGTCTGTCTATCTGTCTATCTATCTATCTGTCTGTCTATCTATCTGTCTGTCTGTCTGTCTGTCTGTCTATCTCTCTAACTGCCTGCCTGCCTGTCTGTCTGTCTGTCTGTCTATCTATCTATCTATCTATCTATCTATCTATCTATCTATCTATCTATCTATCTATCTACCTATCTATCTGTCTGTCCTTCCATCCGTCTGTCTTTTGGTCTGTCTGTCTGCCTGCCTAACTGTCTGTCTATCTGTTCATTCATTCATTAGTTTGTTCATTCATTTATTTAATTATATATTGGGGGTAGGGTGGGTGGAGGAGGTACCCTTGCCCCCATGAGTCCATTGGCGTGGAAGCCTCTGGTGTCTGGACTGATGGCCATTCCTTACCTTGGCATCTGAGAAAGTGGCCTGGGGGAACCGAATTCAGTGACTTGCCCAGGGTCACACAGCTGGTCTGTGGCAGAGGCAAGGTTTCCTGACCCTCCATGCCACGTTCCCTCCCCATGACCAGTAGCGGGTAATGTGCATAGGATGGGCCTCAACTGACATTTACCTTATGATCTGGAATCAGCACAACTATAAAGAGCGCCTTTCCAATGTTTGTGCCTCATAATCATCCTTTAAGGCGAGGGCTAGCAGCCTTTTCATCCAGTTTGGGAGGCCAAGGTCGCTTTCATTTGGAGATGGTGGAGAAGAGATCTTGGCATCTAAGGAAGGGCTTGAGGCATGGGGCGGGGGGCTGGCAAGTTTGAAAATGAGCCCATCAGTGATCCCTGCCCTCCCTATCTTTGAAGAGAAGCTCCTTCTCCATGCCATGGGAGGAGCCCAGAGTCAGAGGTCCTGGGTTCCAATGCTGGTGACCTGGGAAAAGTCATTTAAATGCTACCATACTTCAGCTGTCCGGCACATAGTAGGTGCTTCAAAATGTTTATGGAATTGTCTTGAATTAAAATGATGGGATTGGACCAGGTAAGATCAGATCCTAGGATCTTTAAAATCCAACCCTTTTTTTCTTTTTTAGAAAGAGGGGATTCTTGGGCTCTTCTTGGAAGATGAGGGTCTAGTCAGGGAGAGCTTTAACTTCTGGGGTTCTTTTTCCTTTTCTCCCTCTATAGCTAAAATTCCTGAGGAGGATATTGTGGACCAAGAAGACCCCTATCTGCATGACCGATGCCGAGGTGAGAGAAGGTGGCAGATTCCTGCTAGCTCTTCATTCAGCAAGCACTTATTTGGCGCCTACTATATGTGTGTGAGAAGGGCTGGTTCTCTGATTGCTTCTAGGGTGAGAGTGTAGGAGCCACAGGGAACACCCATAAACTCTAACTGACTCCTCATGGCTAGCTAGGAAAAGCCCAAACCCCCAGGCCATTCCTGGCACAGAGGAGGCACTTAATGAATACTGACAGATTTGTGGCACAGCCGCATCACTGGTCCTGCCCAGCTGCCATGGCTAGCTCAGGTCCTCTTCCTCCAGGCAGGCTTCCCTCACCTCCCTCTCTCTGGGAGCTCTCTTTTTAGGTATGGGGGCCATCCTTCCAGGTCCAGTGGGGGCAGGGACCCTATTTTAGGCCGCTTAGAATCTCAGCCCCCAGAAGAAGTTTCCAATATTTCCAGCACTCGGCACATGTCTGTTGACTAGGGATTTATCCTTTCATTCACTCATTCCCTCATTTACTCATTCAATCAACTGCTGTTATATTAACTGTCCTATGTTCCAAGCCCTGTGCTAGGGAGCTGGGGAGAGGTAAAGATGAATAAAGACAATGCCTTCCCCTGAGGAGCTTCCCATGGTGGTGGTGGGCATGTGACCTGGACCTCGTAGGAGACGGGCTCTTTGGTGCTCCCCAGAGGCGCTGATCCACCCTTTTCATCTTACAGATCTGCCTCAAGACCAGAGATCACACTTAGTCCTCTGACTTCCAAGAGGCTTTTCCCAGGAGTCTGGAAAGGGTTTTAGGGAAAAATATTTATTTCTTAATATTTTAAATATGTAAGGATGCTTCTATAAAAGACAAGATAAGAGGAGTGGTTTTCCAGTAAAAAGACCCAAATCTGAGCCCAAGGCATGACATGTACTAGCTGTGTGATTGCGGGAAGTCACTCAGCTTCTTTCTGCCTCAGTTTCCTCACCTGTAAAATAAGGATGATAATACTTGACCTCACAAGGCTGTTGGGTTGTCATGATTGTTATGAATAAAGAAAATTGAGATGGCAAAAGGTGTGATCTAGGGAAATGGGTTTGTTTGCCAACTCCTCTGTCTGGTTTCAGGAGGGGGTCCTTGCACTCAGCAGTGCAGAGACACGGGAAGCACGGTCGTTTGCTCCTGCTTTGTGGGCTATCAGCTCTTGCCTGATGGAGTCTCCTGTGAAGGTAATCCACCCTGGGGCTCAGAGTCCCCAGGATTTGGGGTTGTCGGTGCTGTCTTGCCCAGGACTGTCTGTTTTCCTTTGCCCCACGGAGCAGGCAGGGCTTCCTTCCTACTTAGGGGTCCCTGGTGTCATGGACGAGGTGCTTTCTCCAGCTGCACCAATCAGCATCTTCACAGGGCATTAGACCATCTTCTTGAGTTGATGAAGCCAAAGAAATCCATGATCTGGTGGCCCATTATGGCCACTGTGCCTGAAACCTGGTCACAGTTCATCCTCCACTTCTTACACTGTGGCCCCAGGCTCATGTCCATGGCCCATGGAGGTCCTTCAAGAAGACTTCCACTGAAGTCACATGATCAGCAATAGACAATTGAAATCTAGGAGAGCAAAACATGGACTTTGTGGCCACAATGTCACTTGTCCTGACTATTCTCTTGGAGGGCACCAGAAGCAGGTCCACTCTGACCTGCTGCCTTTTCTCCCAGTATCTCCCAAAGTTCTATTGGTTTTTGTAAGTTATCCTCCTACAGTCTTGTCACTTGTACGTCACTCTCCTCGGCCCTTCCCAGATACCAACGAGTGTGTTACTGGTACACACAACTGCCGAATTGGGGAAATATGCATCAACACAGTGGGAGCATTTCGTTGTCAAAGAGAGAGCAGCTGTGGAACAGGCTACGAGCTCATGGAAGACAACACTTGCAAAGGTATGTGCTGTCCCTGGGGCGACTGTAGTGGTGGGGTCACCACCAGCTGGGGAGAAGACCTGAGCGCTCTGCCAGTGAAGCCGCTCTGCCGTGTGACCATGGGCCAGCTCCTGGCCCATGCAGAAGCACACCCCTACCCTGTGCACCTGATAATGACAGCACGAGGTGACAGATGGGGGATGCCTGGGGCATTTAGTCCAATAGTCCGTGGACCACCTTTAAAAGGTGCTTGTTCTAGACTTAGCCCTCTCACCAATGACAGGACGGTCCTACAGTGGCAGTGACTGCTGACTCCTAGAAAGCAGAACTGGCTCCATCGGCATTTCTGGGTCTGTTGAAGAGGCCGCCATCTTGGAGACCCCATCTCAAAGTTTCAGGGTCATCTCAGGGCTGGGTCCCACTGACCCTCCACCACCAGGTCCCCTTGGCCCCCTTCTTTCCATTCCCACTCTGTCTGTCCAGGCCTTGTCTCCCCCTCGGACAGTGGTTAGAGCCACCTAGGTCCCCAGTCTGTCCCCTTCCAATCCTTTCTTCAGACGCTGTCAGAATGGCCACCCTCCTCCGGCGCAGATGTGATCAAAGCCTCCGATGGTGCCCGCTGTCTCCCCAGTAAATGCTCCGTAGTCCTTGAGCTCACCGTTCGATGCTCTCTGCAGCTTGGTGCTTCCCTCACCCTCTGGCCTGCACACCCTCTTTATTCCAGCCAGACTTGGCCTTCCCCGTGTTGCCCTGCCTTCTCGGGACCCTGTGCCTGTGTGGGCATCATGCCTGGAGGGGATGCCCCCAGAGCCTCCTCTTCTTCGCAGTCCTCTCCCACCATCATTCTTTCATCCTGTGTCTTTGCGGCCGGGAGGCTGCCAGGTCTAACATCTGGCACATTCAGTAGGAGGTGCATAATTAATGATTGTTGACGGACTGATTGATCTTTGTGAATGAGGGGGAGGGGTGGGGACTAGGGGAGGCTGAGTGGCCAGCCCTTCAGTGTCAAGCTCTTCCACATTCACAGCCAAGACCAGGCTCACATGGCAGGCTTCAGTCCTGCAGATGACTCCGGACCGGTAGGGACGGTGTGGCTAACACACGGAGGGGAGAGCTGAGAAATGGGCTGATCCCGGGAGGCAGGAGCAGGGAATCAGGGTGGACAGCGGCCCTCCCCTGGGGGAGGTGCGGCTCCAACAAGGTTTCTGTGAAAGAGCCGGGGCTTTCAGGGTCTGCAAGCTCAGTGAGAGTCCAGAGAGGTGGCCCTGGGCTCTGAGAGCGCCTTAGGAGAGTCACGGGCCAGAGCAGCACATCAGGGATGCTGAGTTCGGCTCTGCTTGGCCCGTTTTGGGCGGCACACGGCACCCAGAGGAGAGCCCACAGACTGGTCAGAGGCGGGCATGCCATGAGAAGCCTACTGAGTGGAACTGGGGCCGTTTAGACTCAAGGGAGGCTCGAGAAGGTGATGCTGGGAAGAGGGTCCTGTCTGACCCCACACAGCAAAGTCAGGGCCACTGGTGGGGAGTTGGAGAGGAATTGGAGGCTGGCTCGGGGTCTGTTTAAGGAAGACGAAAGGTTCCACAGGGGCTTGGACCAGGCAAATCTGCGGGGCGAGAGCTCCCTCTCCCTGGAGATCCCCTGTTGGGGAGGTCGGAGGGGGAGCCTTAACCCTTCCTTTTCTTTAGGGCCCCGCTCAGCCCTTCTTCTTGGCAGCCTCCTCCCCCTCCTAGGCCTCAGAGTGTCTTGTGACTCAGCAGAGTCGAAGGCAGCATCCCAGGGGTTCGGGGGCGTGGCTTACCTCCCCCGCCCCCCAGGCACACACTGAACAATTCACTTCTGCAGTTCTCCCCAACGCTCCTCTCAGGACCAAGCACGCCACTTGGCGTTCATAGCTGCATCATGGACGCCGCTCCCATGGTGCCTGGTCATCTCCAATGGTCCAGGGTCGATTTCAGGCACTGAACGTGCCAACCACGTAACTAAAGTACTGTTTGAGCGTAATCCCCTCTTGGCGGCTTCCAGAAAGGACAAAAGTGAGCTTCCTGGGGCAAGACAGACACTGGGTGGATATCTGGAGGGGGCGCTAGAAGCCATGGCGGGGGGACCCTCTCACTTTCCAGGTGAGGAAGCTGAGGTTGATGAGCTGGTCCATGGTCCCTCAGAAAGCGAGGGAGGCAGGATCTGAACTCGGATCTGCAGGCTTCCTCCAAGGTCCTCCAAGGCATTTGTTTTAGCTGTATGGAAATCCAGCCGTGCCTGGCTAGGGAGCCTTCTCCGGCCAGATGGTAGGATTCCGATGAGGGTCTGACCTTCTTTTGCTCTGTATGGTCTTCTGCAAACACTTTCCAAAGGGGTTTTCTTCTTGGCAAAAAGTATTGCCTGAAAAAAAAGAAGAAAATCTATGGTCCTTTCAAAGTGGGTAGATGAGCAGCTCAGCCTGTTTCTGTTCATGCTGCCCTCCCCCACCCCACCACCTGAAAGTTTCTTGCCTTATTTAGGGGCATCTGGGGCCATGGAGGTGGGGCTCAGTTTCCAATGAGGCTCCAAATTAGCCTCAGGGGGCACGGGTTCCCAGCCAGCTCTTCGACTGTGTGCAAATCTGGCCGCCTCTTAGGCCTTAGTTTCCTCATTGGTCAATTGACAAACAAGACCCTTTGAGACCTAAGATGCTGTGATTTTGGACATGGTGGGCTTGGTCTTTGGGTCTGCCCACACAGACGCCTTGCATGCTTGGTGACTGCTCGTGAATGAATAAGCAGAGACGGCCAGGTTGAGGCGTCTCAGGAAGAGTTAAAAGGAGGCAGCAGCTTTTTGCCAACCCTTGATTTGCTGTTTTTTTCTGCCATCCCAGACATTGATGAGTGTGAGACTGGGATTCACAACTGCCTCCCCACCTTCATCTGTCAGAACACTCCAGGATCTTTTCGCTGCAGACCCAAGCTCCAGTGCAGAAGTGGATTCATTCAGGATGCCCTGGGCAACTGTATTGGTAAGACATGCCATGCCCCAGCTTGTGCAAGCCTGTCCTTAGCTCAAATGGGCTCAAGGAGCTTAGGGGCCACCATGCCTCATGGCCTGGCTGATGAGAAGGATGGCCAGGGGAGCCAAGATGGTGAAAATGGAGGGTATAGACATTTCTAAGGAAGAGCCCTGGGGGGAGGGGGATTGGGGGGAGATCAGAGAGACTAAAGACCCTGGATGGTGCTGTCACAGCTCTGTTCTGAGGCCCTCCCAGCTCTGACATTCCCTGTTCTAAGGGCCCTCCCAGCCCTGACATCTCCTGTGCTGAGGCTCCTCCCAACTCTGACATGCCCTGTTCTGAGGCCCCTCCCAGCTCTTTCATCCCCTGTTCTAAGCTCCCTCCCAGCTCTGACATTCCCTGCTCTGAGGCCCTCTCAGCTCTGACATTCCCTGTTCTAAGCTTCCTCCTAGCTGGAGACCTTTTCTCATCAAGTCCTACATTGGAAATGCCCATTGCCAAACCCCTTCCTCACCCAGAGCTTTTCCCTCTGGGGTCACTGAAGGTGACAGGGATCACTTGAACAGAGGTGGGGATGGCTCCTTGCTGCCCTGGGCTGGATCCCTTTGCAAAGTTTCTTGCAGCATCAGAAAATCTTGGGCCTTAAAGCTGGCAGGTGCCTTAGCCACCATCAAGTCCAGTACCCACATTTCAGAGGAGGAAACAGGTCCACAAATGGCAGCCAGGTGTTCCCCAAGGCAAGGTGGGCCAGGGCTCTCCTCTGCCCCAGCCACCTCCTAGTTATTCAGCTCTCTATGGCCTGTGGCTTCTCTCTGCTTGATTCAGATTCTGATCTTTCTAGGGACAACAGTCCCTGCTTCGAGAATCTTTGATGCCTTGGAGTCAAAGACCTGGCTTCCAATCCAGGCTCTGCCATTGACTACTCGTGTAACTTAGGGTGTTCTTCACCCACTTGGGTGTCCTCTGAGGCTACTGAGGCTGAAATTTCTGAGGGATTTGGGATCTGGCTTGGGAGATTGTAGCATCTAGAGCCAGAAGGGACTTCATTTTTTTTCTTTTGGTGAGGCAATCAGGGTTAAGTGACTTGCCCAGGGTCACACAGCTAGTGAGTATCATGTGTCTGAGGCTGGATTTGAACTCAGGTCCTCCTGACTCCAGGGCCAGTACTCTATCCACTGTGCCATCTAGCTGCACCCCAGAAGAGACTTCAGAAGCCATCCAGCCCAGCCCTCTTGTTTTATAGAGGGGAAACTGAGGCCCGGGGAGGTAAAGTGACCTGCCTGAGGACACAGAGCAGTAATTAGCACAGGAGGGATTGGAACGTGGGCTTCTGCCCAGCGCGCTTCCCCCTGCACTGCTGGGCCTCCTCGGCTTGGGGCTGGGAAAGAAGGGCAGAGATGGGCCCTTCCCTGAGAGGTTCACTTCGTACCCCACTCAAGCTGCCCTTGCTTCTTCCCCACCTAGACATCAATGAATGTTTAAGTATCAATGCTCCGTGTCCGATTGGGCAGACATGCATCAACACCGAGGGCTCCTACACCTGCCAGAAAAACGTGCCCAACTGTGGTCGAGGCTACCACCTCAATGAGGAAGGGACGAGATGTGTAGGTGGGTAGAGGAGGGCCGCCATGAGTGGCCTGGTGTCCCTGGGTCTAACCTTCGCTTGGGAGGGGAGGGATTCCCACCAGGAGCGCAGCCTCGAGTGAAGCCGCCTGCACTTATGCCTTCCTTCCAGCCCTTTCCCTCTTCTCTTTTCCCTTTCCCCCTCCTGCTTCTTTCCCACCTTCTTGTCCTCTCCTCCCTTCTCTTTAGTCTTCCCTTCCCTAACCCTTCCCCCTCCTCTTCCCCTGCCTTATCCCCTCCCCTTTCCCTCTCCCCTTCCCCACACCCTCCTCTTGCCTTCCTCCTTCCTCTCTTTAAGAGCCCAACTGCCCAGCCAGGCTTTCCACTCCCCCTTCTTGTCTTGCCAGATGTGGACGAGTGCTCCCCGCCCTCGGAGCCCTGTGGAGCCGGGCATCTCTGCATAAACACTCCTGGCAGTTTCCGCTGTGACTGCAAGGCGGGTTACTATTTTGATGGAATCAGCAGAACATGTGCAGGTATGTGCTCAGCTGGCCGCTGGCTGGCCTTGGCCGTGTCCACACTGCCTTGGGTCCGGCAGTGAAGGACTCTGGTGTTTGTGACTGGCCTGGGGAAAGACTGAAGGCAGAGGACCCCAGCAACCTTGGCCGGGGCAGAGAAAGACAACTTAGTCTTGAAATGGGAAGGCCTTTGTCCATATTTTGAACTGAGCTGCGTGACCTTGTGCAAGTCCCCTGATTTCTCTGAGACTCAGTTTACCATCTATGCGATGGGGATAACAAACATTGCCCCATTGCCATTCTCACAGCGCTGCAAAGGAGTCAGTGAAGGGATGGATGTCAGGCACTTTGGGACCAGAGGATGCTGAAGAAATGATGGTGGTTGATTTCAGAGGCCGTACTCAGCTGCCCCTCCTTCCTGGGCTCCCTGTATTCGTTCTGGATGCATTCTGTGTTGACCCACAACTGCCACGGTACACGTTGTCTTGCTGATAGAAGGGGAAGCTCCCTGAGGTGCTGGTTTTGCCTACTCAGTTTACCCAGCGCTTAGCTTAGCATAGGGCAGGCACCCATCAGCTGATCCATTAACAAGTCTTTGTGAACACCTGCTATGTGCCAGCCACATTCTGTGTTCTAAGGCTCTCCCAGCTCTGACATGCTCTGGGAGAGAATTTCCACTGCGTCATTTACCTGGGTCTCAGTCTCCTTGCATGTAAAATGGAAGAATGCGTGCTGACAGGTGTACAAACACCGTTGCAGAGCACCCTTCACACAGATAAAGACAGATCTGAATCACTGGGAAAATGTGAGCCGCTCATGGCTGAGCCAATAGAAGGGCAATAGTACCTAAACTAATTTACTTATTCAGTGCCACAACCTATTGAGCTACTAAATTATCACTTTCTAGAACTAGAAGAGGATAGCAAACCAAATTCTGGAGAAACAGGAGGTCAAGGATATCGAGGGAATTCATTTTAAGAGTGGGCGGGAAGGGGACCTGGCAGTACCAGACCTCAGGCTCAAATATGAAGCCACAACCATCAGAACAGCTCGGCACTGGGGAAGACAAAGGGGGAACAGTACAGCAGATGCAACATACAGAAGCAAACAGGCACAGGAGCCTGATGTCGGGCAAACGCCAAGACCCAGCTCTGTGGGCACGAACTCACCATCTGGCAAAAACTGTCAGGAAAGCTGGGAAGCAGTTTGGCTGAAACTAGGTCTAGACGAGCATCTCCCACCACGTACCAGGACAGGCTCCAAAGGGGGTGTGACCTCGACGTCAACCATCAGAAACATACTAGAGGAACAAGGAAGAGACGGGGCAGCTTGGCGGCACAGCAGATAGAGCTCCGGCCTTGGAGTCAGGAGGACCTGAGTTCAAATGTGGCCTCAGACACTTGACACTTACCAGCTGTGTGACCCTGGGCAAGTCACTTAACCCTAATTGCCTCACCAAAAAAATAAAAAGTCTCTGGGTAGGGGAAGAGTTCATGGTCACAGAAGGTAAAATGAGTGATTGTGATTCCATAACATTGAAAAGTTTTTATACAAACGAAACCAAAGCAGCTAAAATGAGAAGAGAAGCAGGTAAAAGGAGGAAAAATCTTTGCAACAAGTTTCTCTGATAAAGGTCTAATTTCTAAGATATACAGGAAATGGATTCAAGTTTATAAGAATAAGAACCATTTACATCCCTGATAAATGGTCAAAGGATATGAACAGGCAGTTTTCAGTGGATGAAATCAAAGTTATCAACAGGCATATTTTTAAAAATGCTCTAAATCACTAGCAATTAGAAAAGTGCAAATTAAAACGACTGTGAGGTGCCACCTCACATCCATCAGACTGACTAGGGTAACAAAAAAGAAAATAATAAATGTTGGAGGGGATGTGGGAAAATTGAAGCACTAAACACTGTTGGTGGAGTTGTGAACTGATCCAACCATTCTGGAGAACAATTTGGAACTATGCCTAAAGGCCTATAAAACTACAAAACTGACCCTGCAGTACCACTACTAAGTCTGTACCCCAAAGAGATCCAAGCAAAAGGAAAAGAATGTATAAAAAATATTTTATAGATGCATACAAAATGTATGTATACAAAAATATTTCTATGTATACAAAAATATTTCTAGCTCTTTCTGTGGCGGCAAAAATTGAACATTGAGGGGATGCCCATCCATTGGAGAATGGCTGGACAAGCTGTGGTATATGATTGTGGTGGAATACTACTGGGCTATAAGAAATGGCAAGTAGGCAGACTTCGGAAAAACCTGGGAAGACTCATGTGAACTGATGCAGAGTGAAGTGAGCAGAACCAGGAGGACAATTTCTGCTGCAACACAGCATTGTAAAGACAAACGGCTTTGAAAGACTTGGTAACTCTGCTCGACACGATGGCCCACCACAATTCCAGAGGACTCGTGATGACGCATGAGGATTGCAGATTGAGGCAGATTTTTTTTTGTTCTTTGTTGGTTGTGGCCAATGTGGAAATTTGGCTTGCTTGACTCAACATATTTGTAGGTTTTGTTCTTGCTTTCTCAATGTTGGGGAGAGGAAAGACGAAGAGGACAAAGAAAGTGGATCTTCATTTGAAAATTTGATTTAATTTAAAAAAGAAAGATCACTGACACCCAAAGCAATTGGGTTTGAATTTGGAGTTAAAGACTTGAATCTGGCCCTTGCACTTTGTGACTCGGGCAGGTTTGTGTTTTCCTCATCTGTAACATGGCACGAGACTATATGATGGTATGTGTAGACCTGGAAGGGATGTCAGAGGTCCCCAGATGTCACTTACCTTACACAGACAGGGAAATGAAGCACAAGAAGGCTGGCTGACTTACTTGAGGACACAAAGGGACTAAAATGACCTCTAAGGGGCCTTCTGGCTCAGACATCTATGACCTCTGACCTTGACCAAGGGGGTGTGGCTACTTAGGATATAAGTGATTCATGGACGGAGCAGAAGGCAACCACTGGCCTTTGAGATCTGTCTCCACTGGACAATGACCCGCAGCACAGACTGCTTATGAATTTCATCTCAACTCACATTTGTAGCACTTCTTACCCATAAACGTTTTCCTCCCAACACCCTTGCTAGGCTGGCAGAGGCAGGATGCATCTGCCAGATGAGGTGCCCGAGGTCCGGAGCTCTGGCATCCCCACTCTGGAAGCTTCAAGAGGGTCCCAATGGCCCTTCCTTGTTGTGGAAGGGGTCGATGCTCAGATAGGGGGTGGACTGGATAGCTGTGGGAGGACCCAGGTGGTGCTGAGAGCCTGTGATTCACGGACTCCCAGCTGGAACGGGGTCTCCCAATTCCTAACCCAGGGTACCAGGCAGTGAGCGAGGGCAGGGAGGCATTCCACATTGCCTGGGATGGTGGCAGGGGCTGTCAGCCCCACTTCCTGTCCCTCCTTTCAGATATCAATGAGTGCCGACGCTATCCCGGGCGTCTCTGTGGCCACAAGTGCGAAAACACCCCTGGCTCCTACCACTGCAGCTGCACCATAGGCTTTAGGCTTTCTTCTGACGGGAGATCGTGTGAAGGTAAGAAGGCAAGGACTGGGCCACAGCCAATGGGGCCAGTTCCACCCACTGCCCCAACAGGCTCATAGCACCAACTACAAAACCAGAGCCCGGTGCTGGGAGGCCACAGAGAAAAGCCATGTTTGGGAGGCAGGAGGCGGGTTTGCTGATCTCGGCAAGACCCTCAGCTTCCCTCTGACGGCGCAAATGGCTTCTCTGTCCGGGCCTCGGTTTCCACCTCTGAAAACTGAGGAGGTTGGGCCAGATAATCTCTGAGGCACCTGCCCTGTTCTAAGCTCCCTAGCTCTGGATGTTTCATGTGCTAAGCTCCCTTCCATTTCTTGATATTTTGTATTCTAAGCTCTTGACATTCCATGTTCTAGGATCCTTCTCTGTTCTGACACTTTCATTCCGTGTTCTCAGGCTCTTCCAGCTCTGCCATCCCAGTGTTCTAAGCTCCTTCCCATCCCTTGACGTTCTGTCCTCTGGGCTCCCCCAGCTCTGACCCTCCATGTTCTAAGCCCTGTCCCGGGTCTCACTGTCTAGGATGCGGATACAGCTGTTAGTTCATATTTTGCCTTTTTAAGGGAAGAGCAAACATCTGTCTAGGTGCTTGGGCTCTCCCCTTGTTCCCTGCACCCTGAAGGGCTGCTTTCTCTTCCAGACCTGAATGAGTGCAGCAGCAGCCCCTGTAGCCAAGAGTGCGCCAACGTGTATGGCTCCTACCAGTGTTACTGCCGCCGGGGCTACCAGCTCAGTGATGTGGACGGGATCACATGTGAAGGTAGAAGCTGCCTGGGCCATGGGAGACCCCGGCCCTAGGGCCCCGGCTGCTGCTTCTCCCAAGGACAATGAGGAAGGGCCTGCTGGATGTCCACTGGGGAAGTTTCTCATTCCTTTATATCCTCATCCATTCCACCGACCCACGGATTAGCCAGGACGTGATGGGTCCATGCTGGCTTGAGGGAGCAGACCAGGGCCCACCCTCCCAGAGGCTTCGGGTGTGGGAGTGGGCTGGCCTGGACCCAGACCATGGGATACACAGCAGGCGTGGGACATGGGTCTGAGGGAGGGTCTAGGGTGGAGCTGGGATGGCATTTGGTGATTTAGGGAAGTGGCATCTTCCTAGCCTTCTTTTAAGCTAACAGACCCCAGAGAACCGATCCCCTAATCCCTGCCCTGAACATAGATCCTTCCTCCCTCAGAGCTCTGGACCCGGCCCCCACCCTCTGCTAGGAGACTAGGGGGGCAGGAGAGCACGGCAAAGGAGCTCCCCCATTTTTTTACTTTTAACAAATCTGGATTGATCGCCTTTCATTCTTCTGTCACTTGTGTTCCACTGTTCCCCTCCCTTCTTCCATCCTTTATAATGGAATAAAAAGGGCTTTTGGCAAGGTCCAGAGAGATTGGCATCACCTGCAGTGATGGCCGCTGGGAAGTTTTTGTTTATGTTGAAATGAAATCTACATCCCTGTAACCTTTATGGCAAAGCAGGGTAGGCTAGGGAAGCATCACTGGAACTGGAGTCGAAAACTCAGGTTCAAATCCTGCCCCTGGTACTTAGTAACTACACCATTCTAGCAAGCCTCAGTCTTCTCCTCTATAAAATGGGAATGATAATAACAATGATGACGGTGGTGGTAGCCTCTGCTTCTAACAAATGAGATAATCCAGGGCTTCTCCTTGGCAGATATTGACGAGTGTGCTCTGCCCACGGGAGGACACATATGCTCGTACCGCTGCCTCAACGTGCCCGGGAGCTTCCAATGCCACTGCCCAGCAACAGGCTACCGGCTGGCCGCCAATGGGCGGAGCTGTCAAGGTATGTCTGGGAGGCTGGGCAAGGGGGCTGGGAGAACAACCAAGGAACATGGACTCGCTGTTTCAAGTAGCTACTGACCCTCTAAGGCTGGCTCTCCTGCCTGTCCTTTGGCCCCTCATGCCCCTCCTTTCTCCCTTCTTCCTGCTCCTCTTCCTTCTCCTCTTTCTCCTCCTCCTCTTCCTCTTCCTCCTCTTCCTCTTTTTCCTCCTCTTCTTCCTCCTCCTTCTCCTCTTCCTTCTTCTCTTTCCCTCTCCCTCTTCCTCCCCCCTCCTTCTCCCCTTCACATTCAAACTTATTTAATTAAGGGTCTAGAGACTGGCAGATGAGTCCTGGCATTGCTACCTACTATCTACTACCTGTGTAAACTGGGGCAGGTCACTATATCTCTGGGCCTCAGTTTCCTCATTGACAAAACATGAGCTGAGGAGGGTTGTGGGGCTCCATGATCTCTAGTGACCCTCTGAGTTCAAATGTTCCATGACTCTGGCATGGTTCCTGTGCCTCTAGGGTTGGATTTGGAGTGAGGGGGTGTGGGTTCAAATCCTACCTCGCTTCGTGATGTTAGGCAGAGACCTTCCCTCTGGAACTCAGGCCCCTTATCTGTAAAACAAAGGGATTGGCTCAGAGGGTTTCCTAGACCCGCTCCAATTCCCAGTCCTGTAATGGTAGAAAGGCAGAGGAGGTGTGTCACGGGGAAGGGGCAGGAAAGACTGACATTCCCTAAGAGCTCCAAGACAGGGCTGAAGTCCTTCCTAAGGGGGAGGAGATGGAGCCTCTGAGGAAGAAGCAGCTGTGGTCACCATGGTCGTCAGTGACAAAAGCATGCCTCAGACACGGGCCATAGAAATGAACCAGACAGGGAAAGTGAGGCCCAGAGAGGGCTTACCATTTCAAAGGGGAGCCAGTAAGGGGCTCGGTTTCTATTTCTTCCTCAGTCGGGCTCAGTGGCCTAACGGGGCACACACCCCATTCTGTGACAGTGACATTTGGAGTAGAGACCTGGTTGTCTTGGAGCAGACGTTCTCCCTGCTGCATCTGCTTCAGGGCTGACTCAGATCTTTATTCCAGGTTTCACATTCTCTTCCTCTTCATTCACCATCTCAAACAGATCCAGCATAATCCAGAAGCAGACAGTCCCCATTAAAGTCGAGAAAATAATCCTTCAGAGCAGTCCCACTTATTAAGCATCCGCTCTGTGTCCTCGCTGTGCTAAGCCAGTGTCCTTGAGAATAGGCATCAAATGGGTGTTTTTATTAACCAACGTTATTCTAAGTAATTTTTTCTGCTTAGAGGGAAAAATATCCAAACTGACAGAGTCTGCTTATGCCCTTGAACATCTCTCTGGCACAGCGGGTCCTGTTTAGCGTGAACCCCTTAAGGGTTCTTGACGAAGCTCTAAGAGGTTTGAGCTAAAAATTCCTTAATGGCATCTTAAGTGGGTGTATGAAGGTACCCGGGGGTGCATGCTACATTTGTTTTTGCTGCCGGAGATCCGAGGAACAGAAGGGAGCAGTGCCCTAGCCCACCTACTTGGAAGTCACAGTCTGTAGAATTCTCGAGTGCCGAATATTTCAGAGTCAAGACTGAGTGAGGTTGCAGAGGTTAGATAACAGTACAGTTGAGTTTGCCTCACCAAAGAGAGAATGACAGTCACTTAGGTTTGTGTGGCACTGTGGGGTGCTTGCTTGGAGAACCATTTTCCTAAAGCCATCCGGCTGCCTTTGACCATGCCCTTCAAAGGTTCTCTCCCAGCTGGTCAAGGAACTTCAGTTACCCCAAGGAATCAGACTTCTTCCTTCAGCCCCCCTTAGGGCCTGAAGAAAGAGGAGACTGCTCTGAGGTAGATCCATCTGGGGGTTCCAGGCCCTGGCACCAGCACCAGCCTTTGGGCTGGGCTGGGGGGAGGGTGGCGGGCCAGGATTAAAGGAAGATTTCTTCAGCAGGCTTCAGAATAGGCTCGCTTGAAAGTGAAGGAGGGGCTGTGGGAGTCCGTCTGTTTCCACACCGGGGTCACCCTGTAGACAGAAGGTGTCAGAGGCTTTACTTGGACCCAGCTCTTCCCTTCTGCCAGTGACGGAGGCAGGCCTGGCTCATCTGATTCCCAGCCTGCTTCACTCTGTGCCAGGCTGGGTCCCAGCTCTAGGCCAGGGCACTGCAGCGGGTACCGCTGTGCAGGGATTTGGGCTTTGGGCATTGAGTACTTTAGTGTCCCCAGTGGCGGGATATTAGGGGAAGGCATCCTGAGCTCACCATCTTGTGTCCCCGACAGACATCGATGAGTGTGCCGCAGGCACCCACAATTGCTCCATCAACGCCACCTGCTTCAACATCCAGGGCAGCTTCCGATGTCTCTCCTTCGACTGCCCCGAAAACTATCGCAGATCTGGTGACACGTGAGTAGTGGGTGCTCCTGGGGAGCTGGGGGGGGGTCAGCTCTGGTCTGGGGTCACTCCCCGGAGATGGGCCACTATAAAAAAGCCCATGTGATCCCTTCCCGAGCTGCCTGAGCTTATTCTCCTCCCAGCGTCAAAGTCTGCTCAGATATTCAGTCTGGGGCTGTGGTGAATACATGGAGAAAGCAGCGTGATGTAACCGGAAGAAGGTTTAAATTCTGCTTCCTCTCTGTCAAGTCAGCCAGTCAGTCAACAAACATGTAGGAATCACCTACTGTGTGCTAAAGCACTTGAGACTATGAAGAAAGGCAATGACACGTCCCTTCCTTCAAGGAGGTCACAGTCTAATAGAGAAACAATTTAGGGCATCCAAGACATAAATGGGAGTGTCTGTGGATGGGTTAGAGCAGGAAAGGCCCCCTGCAGAAGGCGGAGTGCAGACTGGAGGGATTCCAGAAGGCCTTCGAGGACTGACAGGAACATACCTAGAAGGCCTGGAGTCGGGAGATGGGGTGTCCTTCGGGAGCAACAGCCAGGAGGCCAGTTGAGACAGCCCAGGGAGGGCAGCGGAGTATAAGAACTCAGGCTGTGAAGGGCTTTAAAAGCCGTTTGAACCTGGAGGTGATAGGGAGTCATTGATGCTTGTAGAGCAGGAGGATAGGAAAACCACTTTAGTGGCCGAATGGAGGATGGGCCAGAGTGGGGACAGACTGAGACAGCCAAAGACCCAGGCCCAGCAGCTGTTGCAGTGATCCAGGTGGGAGGGAAGGGGGCCTACTCCTGGCTGTCTGCCGTGAGCATGGAGAGAAGGGAACTGACAGGAGAGAGGATGGGAAGGTGGAAGAAGACATGCCGACAGGGGCGGAGGGAGACACCAAGGATTCGAGCTTGGCTGTCTGGAAGGGCAAGGCTGCCTACGACAGAAGTGGGGAAGTTCCCAAGAGGGGAAGGTCTGGGGGAAGGATGCTGAGTTCTGACTGCACGTGAGCAGGTTGGCTCCCATGGACCTAGAGGGGCCCTTGCCCCAGTCTTGATCTGTGAATCCTGAGCAAGGCCAGCAGTCCTTCCCAAGCTGGCGGAGGGGCTCTGGGGCTGGCCTGGGCCTCGTCTCCCCCAGGCCTTGCACACATTATCCACAGTGCTCCTGAGTTCCCCTTACCTCCACAGTAGCCCACAGCTCTATCCCCTGAGGGCGTCCAGAGTCCCTGGCACGTGGGAGGTACTTACCTAGTGTCTTCTGGTTGGCTGATGCCCAAAGAGCCCAGATTTCTTCAGGAAGAGACTCTCATCATGGTCCCAATGCTTCTTTTAAGCACCAGTTAGTGACTGGGTGGTATCCAGAGAAGGAAGGGGGTAGGGGAGCTTCCCAGCTCTGGGAGCCTTGGATAGCGCACACCCAGAAAGGAAGGTCTGATTATCTGGTCACGCATGACAGACTCCTCAAAGTCTCCCTGTTGTCTGCTGGGTCCAATTCAAGCCCCTCAGCCTTGTATTCAAAGTCCCTCACAAACTGGCACCTTTCAGCCTTGTCTCAGAATATTCACTCCGTGTATGTTCTTAAGTGGGGATCCCTGACACCCCTGCCCTTGCAGGGGTCTGTGAATAGATTTCAGGGGACTCCTTAACTTGGACGAATTAAAAACCAACATCTTTAAAGAACAGAATTGGTTTGCTTTGTAATCTGGTACAGTTTATGTATTTAGAAACATTCTTCCAAGAACGGGGCTGCAGGTTTCCCTGGGCTGCCAAAGGGGTTCTGTAGTAGAAGACGGTTGAAATCTGGGCTGTGCTAATCGGTTCCTTCATGCCCCACCCCCCGCCTCAGTTTCCTCCCCTGTAGAATGAGCGGTCTCTAAGGTCCTTTAAGGCTCCAGATGGGATGCCTCTCCCCTGTTCACTGCAGTAGCCGTTGAAGCTTCTGTTCTCTGGGCCTGAGAAGGAGTCGGGGTGACTGCTCAAGGCTGCTGTCCCCGGCTCCTGGGCTCCCACAGTGCTCTGGTCAGCCCCAGGCCTGGGCTCCTGGTCCCGGCACTCACCAGGCTGGCCCGGTGATGGCTGAAAGGCAGCCAGAGCCTCCATCAGGTGTCCCATTTTCTTCAGTGTCCGATCCCTCTTACCGCCACTGCCTTCCAGCCCAGACTGTGTCTTTCTGCCTCAGTCTTGTTCCCTCTCTGCCTTGTGGGCGCTCCCTCTAGGAAGCCTGTCAGGGCTGGCCAGACCCTGGGAGCAGAGGCCCTCGGACCCCTCGGTGGGTGGGGAAGCTTTCTCCCAAAGCAGTCAGGTGTCTGGGACTATTCTCCCCCTTCCTCAGGCCTGCAGCTGCTCCCTCCCTGGGAGTCTGATCTTGGACCGTCTCTTGGGGGTCTAGGGGTTTGAATCAGGCTTCATTCCCAGGGCATCTGCTTCTGACTTGTTTACTACCACAAAGCCTAGAAGCAATCTAGTTGTGGCTGCAGCCCTGCAGGCCGCATGTGGCCAGGTTCCCAGAGCCCAGGCCTCTGCCTAAGGCTGACTTTCTGGCATTGCCAGTCACAGGCTCAAACATTTAGAGATGGGACATTGGTGACCATCTAGTCCAAGCCCTTCACTTTACAGAGAGGAAAACTGAGGGAGGACCTAAGGCTGTCCAGGGCACCACCATCCTTCCAGGGACCCAACTTCCCAATCTTAGGGCCACCATCTGGTAGTCCATTCTCTTGTTCAGTCCACGTGTATGATCTGTAGCTAAACCACGTCACTTCTTTCATTACAAGAAGTTTCATCACCCTTGTTCAATAATCTAATGGGTTTCTCTGTCTCAGGGCTCCATCCTCTCCAATTCCTCTTACACATAGGTGTAAACATTATTTTCCTGAAGTCTGGGTCTGACCGTGTGACTTCCTGGCTTCTTACGGGGATGGGGGATGGCTAATGCAAAGGGAAGGAGTGGGAAACGTAGAATGCCAAGAAGGCTAGCTCTCCTCAGGAACTCCAGGATCCAAATTCCCTGGCCTCCTTCCTCCTCCTCCTCTTCTTCCTCTTCCTCTACAATTTTAACCCCAGCATATCTCAGATAAAGCTACTGATTAACTAACTCCGTAAAAAAGTACATCAACAGTCCTCATCCACTTTGCTTGTCCTGTATGGATTGTTAAGCTGGTCTGTAGAAGAGCTGTGACTCTCATGGAGGCTCTAGTATTCTGGGGCATAATAACAGTAATACTACCTCTGGCTGTTAGTACTTGGTACCCTCCAGAAGCTGGAGGAGGGTTCAGCTAGCCTCCATGCAGAGAAGCTAGCCTGATGCAGCTTCTCCTAGCTATCAGCTAAGCTACCTGGTGGGAAGATGGAGGATGGATGAGATGGAGGCCGTGGGCAGAGCATCCCTCCTCAGTACCCCTATGAGGCCAATGCAGGGGGAGAGCCATGGGCTCCCCAGGGCTCTCACACTCCTTTCCTTTACCCATGGTGACTTTCATCATCCAGGATCCCTGTGGTCGGACTCTATCCACGCGATAATCGAGATCTCTCATGTGGGTGGTAGTTGGCCCCAAATACTGGTGGCCTTGTATCTGCCAGTGCAGGAACATGGCCACGTGGCAGGCAAGTAGCCACAGAAGGGGTATGGGGTCCTCTGCCTTCACCTCTGGCCTCTGGGAAGACAAGGTAGCTCACCAAAACCAGCCCCAGGGTTTCTTTTATTCTGGTGGTCATACTGGTGGTCTCGTAGCCCTGAATGAGTTGGGGTTTGCTCCTTGTCAGTGGGGGAGAGGAGGAATTGCATGGAAGACATATTAGGACAATGCTGGGAATGCATGCCAAAGAAAAGATGAGGAAAAACAAATTTGGGTAGATTTAATGGTATAGGATTTCCAAGAATTTTCTTCCTACCACCCCTGGGAGGGAGGGAAGGTCCTCTGTAAGAAGAGGGCATTGCCAGGTCTAATGCCTCCTTGGTTTGCTCGGGTGCTTCCCAGGACACAAGAAATTCTCAACACCTCCCCTGCCTCTCCACACCCCCAACCAATTCTGTCTTTGTACCTGGCCCTAGGGAATAGTTAAAACCAATGGAATCCCCAAGAGCCCAAAGAATCCTGAGACCCTCCCAGAAGCTGATGGTGGACGTAGTCAGCAGCAGCAGCATTTACAAAACTCCTGAAGATTTGCAAAGTATTGCACAAATATCTCATTTTATCCTCACAACAACCTTACAGATGAGGAAACTGAAGCACAGTGACCTTGGCCAGGGTCACAGTTAGTAATGTCTGAGCCTGGGGTGGAATTTGGGTCTATGCAGAGCACTAACCACCGGGGTGCCGCCTAGGGGAGGACACAAAGAGATGGGGATTTAGAAGGATGGCCGAGAACTCTAAGAGGGTCACTGAAGTCCTGGTGCCGCGGGAATGGGGCTGGACCAGGTGTCAACGTCAGCCGGAAGACGGCCGGGTCTGCTCTGCTTGAATGCCTTGGGGGAGGTCACTCCTCAAGTGGACTGAGGTGATGCCCAAGGTCCTTTCAGCTCTAGGTTCCATTGGGGTGTGAGCTGCTGTTTTTGCTGCTGCTGCTGAGGCTGCTGGGCGATGTAATAGGGGAGGGGGGTTGCACTCATCTCAGTCACTTACTCACTGGGTGACCTGGGGCAAGCCTTTGAGCCTCAGTTTCCTCACCTGTCCAATGAGGATGAGGCTCTCTGTAGCACTTAGCTCACAAGAGGCTTACATGTGATAGTCTGTGAAGCACTTTTGCAAGCCTAAAGGTGCTGTAGGAATGTGAGCTGACCTCAGACTTCAGACCTCTGGCTCTCCCGACCCCTCCCCTTGCCATGCGGCTTCTGCCTGAGGGCCTACCAGAAGGGTGCCCAGGCTGGGGTGGGATAGCCTCTGTATTACCTCAAAGAGAAGTCTAAGAGGAGATCCCCACACCCATGGCCCCTCCAGGGTTACTGAGCACTGGAGGGAGAGCCATGGAGGGAAAAGATGAGGACCTCACATTAGTGGGTATCCAAGAATGCTTCTGCCCCCATTTCTCTTTCTCCTTTTCTTTCCTATTTTCTCCCTTTTCTCTCTTCTCTTTCCCTTCCTTCCTTCCTTCCTTCCTTCCTTCCTTCCTTCCTTCCTTCCTTCCTTCCTCCCTTCCTCCCTCCCTCCCTCCCTCCCTCCCTCCCTCCCTCCCTTCCTTCCTTCCTTCCTTCCTTCCTTCCTTCCTTCCTTCCTTCCTTCCTTCCTTCCTTCCTGGCTATTCCAATTGTGTTCTATTCTTCTTAGACCTTATAGAGTCCGACCCTTACATGGCTGTCAGAGTCTTTTTTGGCTAGAACTTCTACGGTTACACTTTCCCAAACCCCCCTTTCCCTGCTCCCTCAGTCCTTGGGCTTTCTTGCCAACAGTGCCGCTTACTGACCAGATGAGGAAATAATGCACCAGAGAACTAGTGAGGCTGGCTGGCCTGAGAGCTTGAACCCTTCACGTAGGATCGATCCTTTCCCTGCCCACAGGGAGGCAGCCCCTGGCAGTCTCCATCGATGACCTGAGGCTGTGCTCCCAGAGCCTGAAGTATACCCAAAGTATTCACGCATAAATTAAGGGCTGGAAGGAATCGTGCAGGGTCCAAACCCCATTCCCCTACCCCGTTCTGTAGGGCAAGAAAATGGGTCCCAGAGATATTAAATAGCCTGCCCACAGTCCAGCAGGTGAGCAGAGGGAGAGTCAGGATTCAAACCCAAGGCTCTGGATTTCCTCAGTTCTGGAGTTCGAGAATGTAGCTCAAATCTCTTCTCTGACAATTACCACCTATGAGACTTTCATCAAGTCTCCTCATTGTACCTGGCCTTGGTTTCCCCATCTGTTAAATAAGAAGGTTGAAAAAAGTGCCCTCTGACAGCACTTCTGCTTTAGAGCCAGGATCCTCTGACCCAAAAGAATGGCTTTGCATAAAGTCTGTCACACTGCTTCCCAAGAGAAACCCAGGGCCTCCCCACCCCGACCCAACTGGCCTTCCCTGTTCTAAGGCCCCTCCCAGACCTGACATTCTTTGTTCTGAGACCCCTCCCAGCTCTGCCATCCCCTGTTCTAAGACCCCTCCCAGCCCTGCCATCCCCTGTTCTAAGGCCCCTCCCAGACCTGACATCCTTTGTTCTGGGTCCCCTCCCAGCTCTGACATTCCCTGTTCTAGTCACCCTCCCCTCTCTTCCCCTCCCCCAGACCTGCTATTCTGAGACCCTAATTAGTGAATTTCTTGATAAATGCTCCTGGATAATTGTACCAAGGGGCACCTCCAAACTGCTTCTACACTGCCATGAAGATGGTTCTTCCTTTCCATCTATGGTCCCCTCTAATCACTAGCAGAACAATGAAATTCTAGCACTAAGGAGGACTGAAGAGGCCATCCGGCCAGCCTGTCCAGGCCTCTCCAGCCTCACTGGAAGACAAGCATTCTGCTGGGCCTGATCACCTCCAGGGATGAGTAATCTCACTACCTGTCAGCTCAGCCCACACAGTGCTCTAACGGCCAGTCCAGAAGTTTTTCTTATTTTGAATTAAGCTTGGACTCTCCGTCATCACCCCTCCCTGTTCCTGGATCTCCCTCTTAATGACAACTTTAAATAGCTTTTTTTTTTTAGAAACAGAATTACAGAGGAAAGCCTGGGGGGGCCTCACACCTGGATTTCAAGGACTTTCGGCTCACACCCTTACTTGCTCCCCTACTCCTGGCCTGCCTCCCCTACCAGTGAGCTTCTCCCCGCATGGCTCTCCTGCCAGCCCCTTGAATTCAGTACATCCAAGGCCAAAGGCACTTCTTCCTTTCCCTCCAGCTATTTCTGGGGTCTGGCAAGGCCTCTTTCCCCTCCCCCTTCTTCTTTTTTTTTTTGCTAGACAATGGGGTTAAGTGACTGGCCCAGGGTCACACAGCTAGTAAGTGTTATGTGTCTGAGGCTGGATTTGAACTCAGGTCCTCCTGAATCCAGGGTCTGTGCTCTATCCACTGCACCACCTAGCTGCCCCTCCCCCTCCCCCTTCCCATGGCCAGTGCTCCCCACATTCCATCCATCACCAAGTCCTGTCAATTCTTCCTTCATGGGGGTCTCTCACGCCTACTGCATCCTCTCCCTTCCAGCGTGCTCCTGGGTCTTCTCAGCTCCTGCACTTGGAGTACCAGGGATGCCCAGAGAGGGCTCCTGGGGTCCCTGATTCCTGATGTGAAGTGTTCTGCCACCCTCAGTGCTTCTGGGTGTCATCTACTGGGAGTGTCAGCTCCTTGAGGGCAGGCACTACCTTGCCATTGCCCAGCATAGTGTCTGGCAAAGTCTCGGGAAAGCTTTCTTACTGACAGGTCATGTGGGGTGGATGGAAAAGTCCTGGCCTTGGAGTCGTAAGACCTGGATTTGAATCTCACTTTCCTTCTTGTTTCCTCCCTTTCCCTCTTGGACAAGTCCCTTCCCTCTGAGAACCTCAGCTTCCTTATCTGTAAAAAGGCTACAGTACTCCCTGGCCTCCTCACCTCACAGGATTATTGTGGGGAATGGCTTGCAAACTTTCAGTTGTAGTGATGTATGAGGTGTCTTGGGCCTGATTACAATTCTTGTTTGCGTCTTCCCTGCTGGATTGTAAGCATCTCAAAGGCAGGAGGGGTCAATGGCTTCTCATTCTGTGGCCTCTACAGAGTCCTGTCTACAGTAGGTGCTTAATAAATGCTCAGTGAATGAATGGTCAATGTTGAAGGTGCAGGTGAGCAGGTCTGGGGACCCCACAATAGCTACTGAGTGGGGGCTCTAGTCCCTCTCCTTCCCCTTTTTCTTTTTTCTTTCCATTTTACCTCATCCCTTTCTCTAACTAGGGTTTGCTCCCAGACCCAGAGGATGTGGCCCGAAGCAGACCCTGGTTATTAAGTGAGGCCTACAGTGGGGGGCAGGTGCTCCCCAGGGTCCTCCAGGATCCCATGTTCTACGACAGTGTGGGACCTGTCGCCTTCCTGCTCTCTTCCTCTGCGCCCTGGTGTACACTACTGCTCGGGGAACTGGAACCTTTTAAAAGAACTCTTCTGTAAAGTAGGCCAGACTCTAAGGGCTGCCTACCCTCCCCTGCCCTGTGGGGCTCTCTGGACTTCCTGGATCCTCCTCAGATGCAGCATGGGCCCCGTGGGAGGGGGGAGGGGGAGGCCCAATCAGGACAGCTGGGGTCTCATCCTGACTCTGCTATTTGTTGTGTCACTTTTCCTCTCTTACTGATCTGTAAACCAAGGGAGAAGTCACAATAGGTGACCTTTTGAGTCCTTCCCATTACAGCAATGAATACTTTTTTTATTCATTTATTTTTAGTTTTCAACAATCACTTCCATAAGCTCTTGAGTTTTAAATTTACATACATATATATATATATGTATGTATTCCTCTTAAGCCTATTTTCACATTAGTGATGTTGTAAGGAAGAATTAGAACCAATAGGAGGACCACCAGAAAGAAGAAACAAACACAACAGAAGAAAAAAGTAGCAAATAGTCTGCTTCAATCTGCATTCAAAGTCCATAGTTCTTTCTTTGGATGTGGAGAGCATTTTCCATCATGAGGCCTTTGGAGATGTCTTAGATCCTTGTATTGCTGTGAAGAGCCAAGTCTATCAAAGTCAGCCATCCCATAATGTGGCTGTTACTATGTACAATGCTCTCCTGGTTCTGCTCACTTCACTCAGCATCAGTCCATACAAGTCTTTCCAGGTTTTTCTGAAGTCTGCCTGTTCATCATTTCTTATAGCACAATAGTATTCCATTACATTCATATTCCACAGCTTGTTCAGCCATTCCCCAACTGATGCGCATCCCCTCAATTTCTAATTCTTGGCCACCAAAAAAAGAGCTGCTATAAATATTTTTGTACAAGTGAGTCCTTTTCCCATTTGTATGATCTCTCTGGGATGGTATTACTGGGTTAAAGGGTATGCACGTTTTTATAGGCCTTTGGGCATAGTTCCAAATTGTTCTCCAAAATGGTTGGATCAGTTTACAACTCCACCCACAATGTATTAGTGTTCCAATTTTCCCACATCTTCTCCAACATTTATTATTTTCCTGTTTTGTCATGTTGGCCAATCTGATAGGTGTGATGTGGTTACAGCCATGAATTCTAAGACTCCTCCCAGCTCTGCCATTCCCCATTCTAAGGCCCTTTTCAGATCTGACCTTCCCTGTTCTCAGGCCCCTTCCATGTCTGACATTCCCTGTTTTAAGGCCCCTCCCAGATCTGACATTCCTTGTTCTAAGGCCCTTCCCAGCTCTGACATTCTCTGTTCTAAGGCCCCTCCCAGCTCTGACATTCTCTGTTCTAAGGCCCCTCCTAGCTCTGACATTCTCTATTCTAAGGCCCCTCCCAGCTCTGACATAATCTGTTCTAAGGCCCCTCCCAGATCTGACATTCCTTGTTCTACGTTTCTGAAACAGCGGCCACTTGGTGTTTTGATGGTTAAAGGGCCATCCCTCTCTCATAAGAGCCCTCAGCAGGCGGTGAGAGTGTTGGAGGTCCTATATCTGGAAGGGACCTCAGATGGCATCTAGCCCAGCCCTCAGGTATTATTCAGGAAGCTTGGCCTGACCCAGGCTGGGTTAGGCAGCCCGAGGCCTGGCCCCAAGGCCTGCTCTCGGCCTCTGCCTTTGCCAGGGGCCTCTTCGGGATGCTGCCCTGAGCCGCGTCCCCCTAACCTGCGCACCCTCCCCCCAGCACCCCCTCCTGCCCCGCCTGCCTCGCTTGCTCCTCCAGAGCTAACCCTCCTATTTCTTTGTCTTCTTCCTTTTCTTGCAGTCGCTGCGAGCGCTTGCCTTGTAATGAGAATCAGGAATGCCCGAGGCTGCCCTTGAGAATAACGCACTATCATCTCTCTTTCCCCACCACCATCCAAGTGCCGGCTGTGATTTTCCGCATGGGCCCCTCCAGCGCCGTCCCTGGGGACCGCGTCTTCTTCACCATCACCAGTGGGAACGAGGAGGGCTTTTTCACCACCCACAAAGTGGCCGCACACAGTGGCGTGGTGGCCGTGCAAAGGCCGATCCCCGAGCCGCGGGACCTGCTCCTTACGGTGCAGATGGAGCTGTTGCGTCACGGCGCCGTGAACACTTTCGTGGCCAAGCTCCACATCTTCGTGACTGCTGAGCGCTGAGCTGGCAGGCACAGGCGCCTCCCCCTTCCCCTCCCCCTCCCGCCCCCCGGATAATAAAGTGCCCATCCTCCCCCAAGCCCCGTCCCCCGTGTGGCCCCATCCTGCCCCTTGGGATGCGAATCGCCAATAGGAATTAGGGTCCAGGTTTGCAGAACCCTCTTAACACCTGCCCTGGGAGGTGGCAGGCCAAGTATTATTGCTATTTTACAAATGAGGAAACTGAAGCTCAGAGTCTCAATGGCATCTTGCCCCAAAGGCCATCTAGCGGTTAGCAGAGTTGGGCCTGGAGTCGCGGCCTTAGCCTGTCTCCGCGCTATTTTCTGTCCTTGCCTCCTTGGATGGGATGGCACTTCAGTGGTGCGGGCCTGAGGGGCGGCCTTGGGGACATGACCTGGCCGCCCGCAGGCGCCGGCGAAGCCAGGCGAGGGCCGAGAGCTTCGCGATCCAGCCGGGTCGGACCCGTGATCAGGCCGAGCCTTTCTAGCTGCCTATGGTAGCCCAGAGCATGCGCCCACCAGCAGAGCCCTCATCTCAGTGCTGGGGGGGAGCCCTGGAAAGCGAGGTCAAATCCTGCCTCTGGTGCTTCGTTGCTTCGTGATCCTGAACGAGTCCTTTCCCCAACCTTTTGAGCCTTTCCTCATCTGTAAAATGGGCATCATTCCAGCAGCCCTCCCAGGCTTGTTTGAGGGGCCGAGGGGATACCGCGTGTAAACCTTAGGAAGCTACATTACGTTACATTGTAATTATGTCACACAGGGTGATTGAAGTGGGTGCAGGGCCCAGGCCCCCACAGGGCTTAGAGATCAATTGAACAGCAGAGGCAGAGGGCAGAGAGGCGTCGGAAGGAGGGGCTTACTAACAGAATGATTAGAAGTGCTTCTTGGTGAATTCTTTCTGAGCTCAGAATCTTTCTTTCTAATAAAAATCACAGCATTTTAACCCTGGGCATAGCTCCAGAGACCATGGCCTCATTTCACTCTCATGTTCCATGTGAGGAAACAGGTCTAGAGAGATAATGGGAGACTCACTCTGGAGTTGGAAGGGACTCATCTGGGCCAACCCCTCATTTTACAAATAAGGAAACTGAGGCACACAGAACCGAAGTGACTTGCTCAGGGTCACACAGGCAGGACTTGAACTCAGGTCATGTTGACTCCAAGTCTTGTCACTGCTGCCTGGCTGCCTCTGACTCATGGAGGGCAGGCACTGATTATTAGCCTCCTTTTCCTTAGCTGTTAGGAATCGATCTGCTGCTTGTGTGATGGATCATTCATTTAAGAGAAAAGGTAAAGGTGGGTGCTTTGGACAGTTTGGGGTTTTGTGCTTATTCTCTGTGCCGACTTCTGTGCTCCTGCCAATGAACCTCCTGCTCCTCCCAAAGATCAGATCAGGCTGGGCTCTCATTTCTTCACTTTCCCATTTAGAAAGATAGTTTGAATTGGAGACCCCCTTTTACCCTCAGCATGAAAGGTGCTTTGCCCACTAGCTGACTTCTCCTGTTTCCCCAAGTGAATCAAGGGCAGCACAAACGTTGCTAATCCCACCTCCCCCTAGGCTGGGCACTTGGCCCACTCAGATGTTCTCCTCAGTAGAAGGAGTTGTTTCATACAGATTGTTTCACACATTTCTCTGCGTCCTCACCGCCTTGTATGGGGCCTGGCACTCAGTAAGTGCTTAAGAAAAGATTGGCTTGACTTGCTCGTCAGAGTAGCTGAGGCTCTGCTGGAGAGAACACAGAGGTACAGGGCCAGTGGTTACTCCACAGACATCATCTCTGGGAATAAACCTCTCCAACATCCTACATTCCCACACTAGGGCTGCTCTTGGCAGGAGATAATGGGGATAGTTCACTTGACTTCATCCCACATTTGTGGCTGTGTGTAAAGCATCCTGCTTGGGGAATGCTAATAATGACATTGATGATGACAGCTGCCATTAATAGGGGCCTTGAAGCACTCTGCATACACTGTAGTGTAGCTAAGACTTAAATCCCTGCTGTTAAGAAATTCTCATCTTCTTGATGTGCATCTCTGCCTACTGAGAGAATCTAGCGAGATTCATGTCTCCTGTTTCTAGAACCAGGAAATGGGTTGGGGGAGGAAAATCCAGAAGCCACAGTGGGACATATGCTACAAGTGAGTCTGATGTGTAATCCTGCCATTTTGCTAAAAATGATTTTTATTGCCAGCTTTTGCATTACATTACCTACATTTCCCAGTGTATCTGTCCCCCCACCAATCTCCTCTCCCTCCCAGAGAGTCATCCTTTATAACAAAAAATTAAAAAGAGAAAGGGAAAGTTTTGCAAAATTGGCCAACATATAATGGAAGTCTGATGTTATCCATAGTGGTTCAGACTCCACCCCTACCACCTCCCCAGTTCTTCTCATTACTCTTTTTTGGGGCCAAGTGGAATGGACAAGTGAAAAAACCAATTATGAATCCAAAATTGTGCTCGGCAATGGAGATAGAAATACAAATACAATGCCTGCTTGCCCTCAAGGAGCATATAAGCTATCTTTCATGTGTGTGCTTGCGTGCGTGCGTTGTCTAACAATACAGAAAGTTTCGTTTATTTCTTATAAGGAATGTATGTATTTCTTCAATCACTGATATCAAAGGATACTTAAAGTCAGAATTATCAAAGGAGTATTTTAGGTCATTTTTCACACAATGACTTTCGCTTCTTCTGTTTTGCTCTCAAGACTCATTGTCCAAAGCATCTTGCACCCTACCTCTACCTTCAAGTCAAGTGTCTTCAGTGAGAAAAGGAAAATAGGCTTAGGTGAAGAGAGATTTTTTCTAAGTGATTTCTCTAAGTGATGCACAATTACAGCTCTTCAGACTTATCAGCCGCAGCACTTTTTTTCTCTTGGGGTGAAGGAGGCTGGCAGACTCTGGATTAAGGATTGGTTGATTAAAGGGAAAGAGCCTAGAAGAACAATTACAAAATGAGACCCAATTAACCCAGGAGAGGGATGGGGGTTTCACTTTCACTTCTCTTTGGCTTGGTTGGAAAGGGGAGGAATGAAGTGAGAAGGAGAAAGCGGAGCAGGTATAGAACAGCCCCTCCCCATCTTCCCACAACAAAGACATTAATGAAGGAGCTTACATTCTAGTTTGGAGGGAGGTAGGGGTGGGGAGCAACCACACATGGGGAATGGTGACCAAAGAGAGGCACTTTAGTCTGGAAAATGACTGAAATGATGAGGGGACCAAAGGGTAACGGATGAATACTTCCTGTCCAGGAACAATGGCAGAGTTAATTTCCTAGTTCTTGGTTCCAGAACCGTAGTGGGAAGGGGAAGAAAGGGTAAGGACAGCATTGGCAGAGAGGTGATTGGCAAGGAGGCTTTGGAGGAGGCCATTGGAGCAGAGGAGCCAGGGGTGGTCGGTGCTTTCTAGAAACAGTGTTTGGGAGGGGCAGTCACCAACCAGGCGCGCATGTGGTGCCCGGGGTGAGAGTTCCTTATCTCTCATTATAACTCCACCACCTTCAGCTCTGGCTGTTTTGTGGTGGTAGTTCTTTAGTTTCCTTGGTTCTGCTGGCTTCCCTCTGCATCAGTTCATGTCGATTTTCCTAGGCTTCTCTGTATTCATCACACACATCACTTCTTACGGCGCAGTCGTATTCTGTTCCATCCCTAAACCACGATTTGTTTAGCCATTTCCCAAATGATGCACGTTTACTTTGTTTCCAGTAAGCCCTGTCATTAAAAAAGCAATCATAGTGGGTTGGTCACATAGGCAAGATGAGGGCTAGAGGGAACTGTAGAATGACCCCCTGCTCTGGGAGTGCTCACAGTGTGGCGCAATAGCCAGCTAATGGTAGTCTGGGAGGTCCTTACAGGAGCGGAGTTTGTAAAAGGACATACATGAGTGGAGAAACTGATCCCCCCAGGGTCCCCTCACTGACATCATCCAGGCCAGGCCAACCTCCCCAGTCCCTGAATGAGATGGCTCTTGCTGTCCTGGGCGGCAGCAGTGATGAAGAAGGGGCAGACATCAATCCCCTCTGCCCTGCTGTGGTTTTTATGCGGGATTCGGTTTAGTCTCGGCCTCAAGTTCTGGGCTTCAATGCAGAGAGACAGGCTGAACTTAGAGAAATGCGTCCTCAGTAGAGTTTGAAGAAATTGGGCATTTTAAAATCAGGAACTGAGAGGGGCCCAAGAACAGAGACCATCCGCGTGAGAGCCACGGTTTGCTTTTTCCTCATCGGTGATTGGCCCAATGGAATCTGCTTTTCTCTACTTGTTTCAGTTAATGGTGAGGTGGGAGAGATGGGGCTGTTGGTGACTGTCCCTGCTGCTTTCCTCCATCCATACAGAGAGAGGTGACTCCTGAAGGTGGGAGAGTGGCCATGTAGGCCATTAGGAATGCTCCCGGGTCCAGGCTGAGGGGTACAGGTGTTTGCACCAGGACTGGACCATGTCTGGGAGCCAGCCTCCATCACTGTACGCGGTTCTCCTTATTGGCGTGGGTCTGGCCCAGTTCATTTTCTGGCACTTCATGTCCTGACACTTACTTTACAAAAGTATAGATTGGTGATAGGAGACGACCCGCTTCTAGCTACTAGGATCCTTTCTATTGGTCACGTCCATACCTGCGATTTCATGGGTAAGTAGAACTCCCAGGAGGGGGACCTCTGTCTACCAATGCCTGTCAACACCCACTTTGGCAAACAGAGAGCTACCTCCGGCACTGGAACAGCTTGCTCAGAGGGGCACTGCCAGGACATGGAGAGGCTTGAAGCTAGTTTCACTATTATACATGACAAATGGCAGTGCAATTCCTCTGGCGATGCTATGGACAGTCAGAATTCTGGAGACAGGACCAGCAGTAGGGGAGGGGGGATAGATCTTGTGTCCCCTGGGCCGAACACTCATGACTGTGTGTGCCCTGTGCCCAGCACGTGGGTGCTGAGGATGCAAACATAAAAGTGAGACAGCCTCTGCCCTCAGGGACCTTCCATTCTGTTAACGACTCTCGGTTATACCGAAGACTCAAGAAATGACATCCCTGGTGTTCTGTAGGGCACACATGGACAAGATGGCATGGTTTCATGCCGCAAGTGGGAAGGACACCAGAGGGAGAGTGTCACCCGTGGAGTAACAAAAGAATCAAAAGAGCCCCTGTCACTCCCTCCAGCCCCCTAACCCAACCCCCTGCACCCAGTAGATACTCTATATGGAAGAGCTGACAGGTTATCAACCAAGCAATTGACGACTTGATTAAGTACCAACTGTTTGCCAGGTACTAGGCAGTAATCACACATTCTGATATGGACCATCTGGTCTGGCCACATACAGTTCTGTGATCTGAGAAATAACAATAATGTTCCCTGGCTCCCATTGAGATATACAGACACAAGCGTGTCTATGGGGTTGGCTTCGTGCAGGAAACCGAGCTTCTCTTGGGAGTCCCCTGGTCGACAGAGATTCCACTGGAGTACCCGATAGAAAAGGCACCCTGCTTGCCAAGCTTCTGCCGACCAGCAGAATCAGCCTGACAGACTCTGGGGGTAGTCTCCCAAGGATGGTCATGTTCTGTATGATGATGGTAAGCTTTGTAGGGAAAACCAGAATCATGCACCTGGAGTCCACAGAGTGGCCAAAACCGGGCAGATCAGGCAGAAATAATTTTAAACAACTCAGGATTATGTCGCAGGACAAGCTTGATGTAGCTTAGAGACATTATGGTGTTAGAGTTCTCCAAACAGGGAGGGAGCTACAGTTCCTGACAAGCACATAGTGTTCAAGAAGGGAGGTGGCAATGCCACCATCTGGCTCAGTCAATGGCTGAGGACTGTGGTTGGTTCTGGGTGTTGCACTTTAACAGGGTCAGTGAAAATGGAACTGTATCCAGAGGAGGTGCACCTGGAAGGGGAGGCTGGACCAGGACTGCTTGAGGGAATTGGGGATGTATGGCTGATATATACCATGTTC